GTTAATAATTTAATTCAATCGAACAAACGAAAAATAAATATATAACTAATTACTAATAAAGTATTATCAACGGTCTGCGTAATCTTCAACAGCCGTGACCGTGAAATAAACGGACGTTTAGTTAAGTATATTTATCATCATTTATAGCTTAGACTCGATTTCCCTATTAAATTTATACTTATTACTTTTTAATTTATTTGGGGGAACGATACGACTCCGATAAATGATTGTTTATTCTTTTTATTTCCGGTTTTATTTCACTTACCTACTGCGCACAAATATTTTGTCTTTAATTTTTAAAATCTGAAAATTACATTAATTCGACGACTGATACACAAATCGAAAAAATTAATGAATTAATAAATTCTTATAAGAACATGCATACGATCAAGCCAAACCTCGACGGTCTGCTTTCAAATGCTTGTTCGTGTTGTGTATACTGGACAAGTCAAGTCCAGCAATCGAGCACCTTTAACGGTACGCGAGTGAAACCCTCGCACACTCGTGCGATTTATTTTACGGTTAACTGTCTGTTCTCCGGAGTGAAAAATTTTCATTTTTTTTTTTTTTTGTATGTCCAACCGGTAACATGCCGTATATATAATGTACATATTATATAATATATCCACGTAGTAATTGACTCGTTGCCGCCGCCTCAATTTTTGTCCCTGAGACTATAATAATTATAATAATAAGATAATATTTGTGTATTTTTTTTTTTTTCCTAGCCTTTCGAATTTAATACGCCCCGAGCTATACGCATTACATATACACACAAACGCGCTTACTTCAGCAGTTTTCTGCACAGTGTTTAATTAACACCATTCTCCGTATTATTCCCCAACGGTGGGACTTACGTGTAATACATATTTAAGGTACGTGAGTGGAGATTATTGTATTCTTGGAAAACTGATTTTGTTATTATTTTGTAATTACATTATTACATTATACATTTGTATAGGTTTAGATTCTGAGCGTAACGAGTATCATGTACCTAATTGTTTTACTATATTGTGTGCTTTTTTAAATTTATTCGTCTTTTGACATTTTTTGGTGTTGAGTAGGTCAATATCATCGTTGTAATTTTCATAATACTCGGAGAAAAAATGCCAAACAATTGAACAGGTTTAGGCAGTGACGATTTCTGGAATTTTAAATTGCGTTTTATTTTCGTTATAATAAAAATAATATACTTCTAGGCTTCTTTAAGTTAGCTTCTTTTAGGCGTGGAATAATTTTTAAAACATTCTGACGATTATAGATCTTTTTTTTTTATTTTATTTGGTTCGAATATATCTATATTATTTTGATATATCACAAAAAATATTAGTAATTTGTAGTGCTGACTTTAATAAGCAATTAAAAAAAAAAAAAATTGTATACGCGTTTTTTAACGATATTTATATTATATATATTTTATAAGCGGTCAATTTTAATTTAGTTTGAAGTTATAAAATGAATATTAACTTTTGAATAACTTTACCAACAGACGTTTAAGTCGTTTAACAACTAAACCAAACTTCACTAGAATTGTTTTTCATTAGCAATGTTTTATAATTTTGTAAAGATATAGATTTAATTACCATATACACCGTACCTCCTATAACTAGGAGTGATAAAACCATGATGTGAGCTTACGATGTATGTACCTATATACATTTTTTTTTGTACAATTAATTTATTTGGAAAAACTACGAACAATGAAGAAACCTACTCAGTTATCCACCGACCATTCATTTTTAAAATAGAAAATTGCTTAAAAACTTAATAAATATAACAATACACAAATATTATCACATATAATTAAACGACCGGCGAAGGGGGAAGCCCCTTTGCCCTCCACGGGTACGCCACTGATCTACTAGTTGGGTCGCCTTATGTTTGTGAGGGCAAGTTCGACGGACATTTTAGGCTTTGATCATTTTAATTTATAAAAGAAAATTTGGAAGTATTTGGAAGTTGAATAAATTAAAAACCACAAGCTTTTAAGTTACAAATAATAAGTGTATTTTATATGCAGATAATAATAATAATAATAACAATAATAGTTTTTAGGGATATTAAAGTTTACAATTTGGAACGTCTCAACGTAACAGTTTTTCTATATAATATTCTAGTAGGTAATACATTTTCTATCAGGTCCCATCACGAGTCTTGATATATAAATAATAATAAAAAAAAAAATTACAAATATATTATAAATAAACAGTTCAGCGAGTACATGGTGCATCGTATAACGCGGTGTATGAAAAAAAAACGAAAAGAGGATAGTACTTATGGGGAATGAGTGGAGTAACAGAATATGCATAGTTTCTAAGCTGTTATGCTGTATTCGGAATAAGAATTGTTACGATTTTTGTATAATTAACGTTTATATTTATCAACGGGTAGTGGCTCCCATTCGTGTTAACAGCAAAGTATGTGTAATAATAATACACATACATAAATACCATAATATTCGTACAATACATTTTGGCAGCGGCTCCCATTCGGGTTACCGGCCATGTCATATAATATATTTATATATATTATATTATAAATATTTTATAAACGAGCATGAGGAAAATAATGGACTAAGGAGACATAAATGGAGTAGTATATTAATATATAGTAACATATCAAACGATGGGGTTCATATTTAACGAAAAAAAAAAAAAATAATAAAAAATAAAATACTTTATGGGAAAGATTTATACGTTACACGTTGGACGCTATAATCGTTGGTGACAGTAGTTTTCACCCGTTGGCCCGATAGACATCACGGCGTTGTTGAATAGAAAAAAAATTGGCCGTTCCCAAGAAAACTGGTTCGTCCGGAGAGGGAAAAACCAAAAATGAGAGCGAATTGCTTTTTTGATCGAACGTTCTTTCGTCTCCCCAGTCGGTGTTGTTGTTTATATGAAGTGAGAGGAGTTCAGTGTTTGACACGGGCGGGATGACACAAAGACTCGTTACTGGAATGCACTGCAGACATGCGTCTCGAAATTTTCCCAAGCCCTTTGGGATGGAGGTCAAACCTTCTTGTATTTATTGTATTGATTTGGAACTTGGTTTCGGTGCCTAGAGTGTGGGCAAACACTGTCTTTACTCACTGGTTTTGTTCACTTATTTTTTCTATTTTTAAAATCAGAATACTGCGTCGAAGGGACGGTCAGATAAGTCGACGCTAGGGATACGGACGTTTCCGAAATGTTCATAAAATAGATAATTGGGAGTTCTGACCACGACCCTGAAGAATAGGCCAACAAGAGATACAATGGGAGTGTTACAGCATAGTATCCAAATTTCAACTGACCATCGCATTGTCGGCGAGCAGTGTCACCGAAAACTGCACTGATAATCTCTGTGCTTGTGGTCCATAGACTACTCAAGGACACGCTGGACTGGTCTGTCATTCCAGAAAAACTGAACCTTCGTGCGTCTTGACGAGTTGATTATTTCATAAAAGATAGTTGAAAGATATGTAAGCCACGGAAAATCCGTGACTCTGTGTAAGTCGATAGTAGTTAATCATTGAAGTCTTTAATATTATTTATACATTAGCAAATATAATATAAAAAAAAAACAATAAAAGGAAATATAAAAAAAAAAGCATACAAGTAAAATAAATATACAATTATAAATTATGAAATTAGTTGAAAAGAAAATAGGTAAAACAAACTTATGTACAATATAAATATTTGACTACCTATATTTTATGTTGCGTTTAATGTATGAAAAATAATAAAAAAATGAAAAAATACACAACAAATAGATATTTAAAATGCATATACATTAACTATTTGGACCGACTCTGACAATCACTGCATACTGAAACATAAAAATGTAAAATAATACATGGAATTTTTATCTCGTGTCAGTCGAAATGAAAATGGTATTTTTTGGTCGAAGCGATATAATAGACCCTTGTCGTACATGTACGACATGTCCATTAAATCGCGGGATTTAATTAAATTTCGCATATGCATTATATATAATATGTGGAGATGATTTTCGAAACCGCACATTATATTATACCGGCGAGATAGGCAACCAAGTACATTGCCGCAATGACCGGAGAAATACAAGTCCCGGGCCTTCTGTTTTGCTGTTGAAGTTTCTGTACGTATTATTATACACTTAATACATAGATATAAATATAACAACCTTCACCCGTCGGTCCATCTTTACTTCTCCATTTATATACGCACACATATATATGTATACTTGCGATGACGAAATAACAGAGGAGGAGGTGTAGTAGGACGGGAAGGTGTTTTATTCGAAGCTTTTGAAACCTTTGAAACGCACCGAAGGCTCATTCAATGTTCGTTATTGCCATCACTATGTACAGCTATTCTGTTGGACATTATACTGCTGTATATTACGTATTTATATTGTATAATATACAATATTGCTGGTAGAGATACATCTTTTGTGCAGCGAATGAACGATCCCGTGGAGACCTTTTATAAACAAAAGCCAAAACCTTCTCCTCCTCCTTACCCTGAAATGTCGACTCTTCCTCAACACGTAATAAATAACAGACAGCAACGGCAAATAATGTGCACAGAGTTCACCCTGTCCGCTCACATCATTATTTACACAAGACTATTACAATATATTGTGTTAGGCTCGCCGAAAAGCCATCGTAATCAATCTTTTGGCCGATTAAATTATAATATAATTACAGCCGTGTCATAACGTGAGGGACGAGATGAATATAATCATTTTTTGGCATCGTTTGTCGATTAGATAGAATTCTATTTCACGGACAAGTAAAAAATTGTCAATATTTAGCAAAATGCAAATTAAATAAATATTTGTTGCGTAAATACCCTCCATGATGAGTAAAAATGTTCCGAGTTTAATAACCCGTACTTCCAGACTAATTTTCCATCACGAAAGTTCTAGTCCCAGTTATACATTTTGAAAAATGAAAGAACCTAATATTNAACTTGTCAATAATTAAACAAATGCAAATTAAATAAATATTTGTTGCGTTTATACCATCCAAAATAGGGAAAAATGAATGGAGTTTATTAACCCGTACTTCCGGATTAATTCTCTGTCACGAAAGTACTAGTCCCAGTTATTCATATTGAAAAATGAAAGAACCTAATATTATCGATTAAGGGTCTTCCAAAACATAATTGTGACACGTATGTCCCGGCTCAGTGTTAAAGTTAAAGAATAAAGTCGTGTTTCAAATTTTTGATGGATCATTTCTTAATCCCATATCGACGTTCCGTTTTATACAAAATTGATCAACTTTAAAAAAATTATTTGTATATTGGGAAGAATTCTAAATCAAGGAGAAGTAAAACTTGTCAATAATTAAACAAATGCAAATTAAATAAATATTTGTTGCGTTTATACCCTCCAAAATGGGTAAAAATGGAACGAGTTTATTAACCCGTACTTCCTGATTAATTCTCAGTGTTAAAGTTAAAGAAAAAAGTCGTGTCTCAAATTTTTGATGGATCATTTCTTAATCCCATATCGACGTACCATTTTATACAAAATTGATCAACATTAAAAAAATTATTTGTAAATTGGGCAGAATTCTACATCCAGGAGAAGTAAAACTTGTCAATAATTAAACAAATGCAAATTAAATAAATATTTGTTGCGTTTATACCCTCCAAAATGGGGAAAAATGGATCGAGTTTATTAACCCGTACTTCCGTATGTCTCGGATCAGTGTTCAAGTTGAAGAAAAAAATCGTGTCTCAAATTTTTGATGGATCATTAATTAATCCCATATCGACGGTCAATTTTATAAAAAAGTGTTCTTTTTTTGGAAAAACTTTTGTAAATTGGGCAGAATTCTAAATCAAGGAGTAGTATAACTTGTCAATAATTAAACAAATGCAAATTAAATAAATATTTGTTGCGTTTATACCCTCCAAAATGGGGAAAAATGGACCGAGTTTATGTACCCGTACTTCCAGACTAATTTTCAATCACGAAAGTTCTAGTCCCAGTTATACATATTGAAAAATGAAAGAACCTAATATTATCGATTAAGGGTCTTCCAAAACAT